AAAATGCTTATTTATGGCTTTCCCATAGCCCATCCTACTCCTTTGTCAAAAACTGTGATTTTAATGACTAAATTCATCACTTTTACACAAAACTTTCTGAAAACAAACTTTCTGAAAATCCTGAGTTGCAGAAACAGTTTGATTTCTGGTCCAAGAAAGCATAGGTGGCAGTGATCCCAAAGACCGAGCATGAAATTCGTTCACATACTGGCTTTATTCCAAATTACTGGTTTAGGAAGCGTGATTGGCACATGAGCCATATGCTAAGGGCCAAGTTGGAGAAAGGAGTTGAGACTTCTTTCTTTGCAAGTGCCAACAACTGGACAAGACAAAGGTCACACTGAGACACAGATGATGGGGAGAAACACCACCGGGGCTGGGAAGAGACAAAGACACACATTGGAGCAAGAAAAATGATGAGCAGGAACCACGGGAAAGATGTGAGACAGTAGACACAGCCAGTAACATGCCACACAAAAAACCTCAGGAGGGGTGGTTTCTTCTTCTACCCAATATTGTAGGTCAACTACAAAGAGAAGTCACTGAGCAGTCCTTGTGCCCACCACAGCCCATATTTTCCTAAGGAAACATTACTGGTCCTTTTAGAAACTTGCCTCCCTGCCCTCGCCCTTCCCATCAGACAGCATCCTGTTTGCTGTCTCTCTGTCTGACACTAGTTAGGAGTCAAGATTGCAGAGAATTATTTGCTGCCAAACCACCAAGAGCAAGTTTGATACACAGAAACAGCACCTGAAAATTGTTGGAAATGTTCACAAATTAAAATTTTCTGAAACAAAAGAAAAATTTAGTGAAACAAGTACAAACTTATATCATGTGTTTCCTCAGCCTATGTAGCTAAACTCTTTCCAAAACTTAGTACTACTCATAAGATTGAGTTGCATACCACATAAAATGTGATCTAACTCATAACTGAGTAAAGGAAATGAGGCAGGGTTTCTCATTCTGTGGAAAGAATTAGAGTAAGCAATAGCTTGAACTCACCTTTCCCATGGGTGTGCAGTTAAGCTTTTAAAAACACAAAGGAACAAAAATTTCAATATTCTGGTTTTTTCTGCATTGTCAGTGCTTTTTTTTCTGATCTTCCTCCTCTTTGTAACTGAAGACACATTTGTAATGCTTAATGGTGCTAGGGAGATATCCAGCATCTGTAACCTGAACAAAAAATTAAAAAGGATATAAACTAGTGAGATGAAAAGATGCAGACAAGACGCAGATGCACTCTTCCCTCGGGGATGAGTGGAAAGGAGGGCTACAAACTAACCTCTTTGGAATACTCTACCTCATGAAAATGCATTCACTAATGCAGAAAAGGCATCCTTTTGCCTAAAATGAAGGAGAAATTAATAATGAGAAATTAAAACTTGCTGTCATTTCTGAATCTTATTTTGCATTCTTGGCTGATGGGGATATCCTTCAAATATTCTAGAGATTATACAAATGGTATGCACAGATGTAGTTTTGGTAGCTAGATAAAATTCCATCAGGTTTTCCCCTGACAACAAATAGGAATGAGGAAAAAGTCCAAACCAGCACTGAATAGATGGGTGTGAATTATATTCACTAGCTTGCCTGAAAAGCAAACAGAGCATTCTTTTTCAGAATGCTTTTTCTCAGCAATTCCCCATAAATCCTCCTTCTTTCCTGGGTGAGCTGGTTACTCAGAGATTCGAGAGAGAATTCTGTGGTATGACCTGTATGTGATATGAAGAGAAGGACAGAAAGATTGTTAGTTCTCATAGTTGTTATGGAATATTTTTTGGTTGATCAAATTGAGTCTTTTATGCTTACAGTTGACTGACACAGCTTTCATCTGTGCTGATGAGTGTAAAGTGGCTCCTACAAAAAAGTCTGACATATCTGAACTGCAGGACTACAAGAAAACTTTAATCCTGCCTACGGAATAATAACAGGCTTGTATTCTGCCACTAACAAAAAATAAATCACAGCAATATATAAATGCTTCAAACAGCATTCTGAAAAAGCACAAACCTTAGCCTACCCCGGCAATTGCTGATCAGGCACTAGAGGTCTATACTGCCTCCACTAGTGCCCTGCCCCTTGGCTTGTAACACCACTCTGTAATGTCCCTCATGTTGTGCAAAACCACACATCCCTTCAGGGAGTTGTTCCATCTGTTAGGCAGCAATCTGACTCACTGATAAGAGGCAAGCTAGACACCAAAGGTCTGCAATTTCTTCTTTCCTTGGAAAGCCACTGGAAAGCCAAAGTACTCTTCCTCCCACCCATGCTTCTCTCACATAGGGTAAGACCAGGAGAAATGCACTTCTTTGCAGACAGTCTTAGGAACCACTCACTCTCCTTCCAACTCCCAACCATTACAGGCAAAGCAGGCTGTGGCTGATCTTCCTGGACAGTGGGCAGGTCGGTTTATGGGACACATCTGTTGCCAAGTCTCCTTAATGTACATTAAAGCAATTTATGTCCTTGGCTTCTGCTTTAAGTTTGGTTTATGTCAAACCCAAAGCTGTCCAAAGTCCTGGACCCTGACCTTACCAATTTGAATTCCACCCAGCACTTTTTGTCCTTCAGAGGACACTCCTGTTCTTTGGCTCACGCTTCAAGGTCTGGGAAGGATTTGTATTTCCTGTCACTTTCAGACTATGGTAAGGAAGGTCATGCCAGTAGTGTTCACTTCTCCCTCCCCGGGGGAATTGTGGTGGGACAGGCAAGTGCACTCTAAGAGGACACTTCTGAGCCTCCACTTTTCTCAAGACTTTGGATCCAGAGGCATGATAGATTTGCTTGCCTTCCTATTGACAGCCTTTCACCCAGAGTTAGTAACTCCCTCACTGCACAGAAATGGCACAGTAAGGATAGGAAAAAAAAAATATATATCTGTGCTTACAAACAATTGCACATGAAAAATCCCATCATCCTATGTACAAACATCACAGGACCAGTGAGGGAGGTAATTTTTAAAAACAGCCCTTTCAATTATATATCCATTGACCCTTGAGGGAAGATGTCCAAGGTAAAGGATATTCTGTGCCACTTCAATGTCTGCACTCAACTTTGAAAGTACTTCAGGGAGGTACTGACAAAAAGCCAGCAGTCTCTATAATAAATATTAAGTGAACAAAAAAAGGTTTGTTTTATATGGTGACAGTCTCACAGAGCCAGGGTGTGGTGTTAGGGAAACAGTAGCACTTACTAAAAAACTATCAATTAAGCTTTTCCTTGCTTTGCCTTTTCTGGGGCAGGGTAGGCTGTTTCCCTTGCCTAGTTTCTTTCATTATTACTTGGCCTTGCTACAGAGAAAAGACTAGATATAGGTAGTGCCAAGTTTCTATATTTGCTTAGAGGTCTTGGTTCTAGTACTCTAAAACTTAAAAGGACCCAAGCATAAGAGAGGAAAGCAACAAGGTCCTCCAGAGTTCAGATTTCCAATGTCTATAGGAGCACTCAGTTTCTTAGCTTCAATAATGGCCTATGGAAAATCATGTTTTACAGAATTTACATTTTTAAGTCTCACATGAAAGGTGGCTCAGAGAGCTGAGACTTGGCAACATCTGCTGTTGCAGTCAGCAGATTAATTTGTGGCTATTCTGCTTCAGCTTTGGGAGTTTCAGAACTGGCTGAAAAACACAGAAACAAGAGGCTTACCAATTTGGGGAAGAAATACTCACATCCCCTAGGAAACAGAAATTGGAAATACTCAGAAACAGCATAATTTTCTAAATCTCAGGACAAAGCAGAATGATTAACAAAGGATGATTATGTTTTTAAATTAAATACGATGTGTTTATTTTGTATTGTCTGTTTGTTGTTACTTTGACTTTTGAATTTCTCAGCATTTCATAGTAAAATAAACCAAATCTATTTTATACATTTAGTCACTGTTCTTTTGTCCCACTGTTCTACAGTAAGAGTGTAGATTTTTTTGCTTGAGTTAGGATATGATTTACCATGAAGTGAAAAAACAGTCATGTTCTTAATTGGGGCAGTTTAGAAGAAGTATCTGATTTAGGTGGGCAGACTTAAGATGTCAAAACAACGTAGGGTGGTGAACTGCAACTCCATGATGGTGTAATAGTTTCACTGAGATAAAAATCTTTATGTTCAGTTTGGTCCCACATCAGGATTTTAAGATCAATATTGCTAAACTCTGTCTGGTGTGTGGGCATACACTGATCATCTTGGGAACTTTGGGAAAAATAGTGTCCTGTGGTGGGTTTGGATTCTTTGTGCTGAAATATTTGGAAGTTTAAAAGTAAAAAGTTTCATTCTTTAAACAGACAGCTCCTTCAGTCCACAGTTAGTTTTATAGATTGAAACACACTTTGACATGCTTCTTTAAAATGCCCCCACTGTGCCTATAAATCAAATGAGCAATTTTTTGCTGTTTTTCATTCATGATTATTCATAAATGCACTTAGCAACATTTGTAGTGGAGTAGCTCATCTCAACACTCTATTATGAGTGACATTTTTGTATTAGCATAATCTGGAAATTTTGACTGTCTTGTCCTACTTACCTGTCCTCAGCAATTATTTGTGTACAGCACAGTGTTATAAAGTATCTGTTTACAAAGTCTCTACAGAAAGTGACTGTTTTGGATGTTACTACTTTTGTGCTCTAATCTCAAGTTTAACTATTTAAAAATAGACACAAACATTTTGTTAGCACCAGGCATTTGGAAACCATTGCAAATACAGGTAAATATCAAGACAAAATTCTTCTGTGTAGAGCATTTCTTTTACCTCTTCATGTTCAGAATGTTTTAAGATTTTTGAAGGGTACAAGGGTACATTCACTTCACTTGTTATTAGCATAATGAATTAACCCAAGTGGAAAACACAGGTGTTGATGACTTGCACTACATACAAACTTTTTGTGAGTCAGAATATGTTTCTGTGTGAATTAATAGGTGAGAAAGAGAAATTCAGAACACTTCAGGATGTGCTTGTGTTAGAGAACCATAACATCTTTGATAAACACAAGTGGAAAAACACACACACTCCTCTCAAAGTGTTTTATTTTTCAGCTCCATTGTAGAAGTATTTTATATACAATTTACAGTTCTGGTGTCTCTGTAGTATAAAATATGTTCCTTTTGTATTTTTTTCAATCATTATTACTATTACTATTATATATATAATATCACATATAATATTTAATGTATTTTTATAGTAACATAATATATTAGTTTTTACATAATAAAAATATATTCTGTATTTTGAAAGCCTGGCTCAACAATGATGATTTAGTTCACTTTAGAAAATTTTATGTATCATTTTTATTCAAATTGCATTGGCACAAAACACTTGACTGAAAAACACAAATTTGAAAAATACTCCCACATACTTAGCAAGGAAATAAGTGAAATCACTGAAATTTTCTTTCTTCCAAGCACTGATCCCTTTTGCAAAGATAATCAGATACTTTCAGTCTCAAATATTGGCAGAAATGTCTTTAGCCGCAAGATCTCGGAGACGGTTTCATTTCTTTCCTGGTAAAAGTCAAGCCCAGCTAGCAACTCCACATCCCGAACACGTGCAGAATGAGCCTGAACTCTTTCTTCAACCCATTCAGAAAGTGTCTTATTTTCCTGTCAAAACAAACAAGAACAATGCTCAAACTCATAAAAATGCCCTCTGTTGTTTGGTGGCAGTGTTAGGCAATTGCCAGTGTTTGCCCTGGTCTGACAGACTAAAGGTGTCCAGTGGGCAAAACTTCTTTCAGGCTTTCCTAGGTATCATTACAGCCTTGCTTTTAGGGATCTCATTTAAACAGAATCAAGGGATGTCTCTTCTACCCACTTCTCCAATTCCAAAGTGATAGAGAAGAATTATGCTGGCATGGCAATTGCAACTTTTAGCTACAAAATGCATGAGTCACGTTTCAAGCACACACATAAGGACAGTTTTAGTTACAGCACAAATTAGCTGCACTGCTCGGGCCAGTCAAGCAACAGGCACCTGACAACTCACAAAAAGTCCTTACAGCAGCTCAGTCTTGATTTCTGGACAGGAAGAATAGTTGCTAGTTAGATGGGGAAAACAATGGAAATGTAACCATTAATCAATTCAAAATGTTATTTTCTGTTCTTTTACTACAAGGAATGGTTTGCAAATAGCTGGTAATTTGCTTTTTCATTAACAATATTTGTTTCTGAGGCAAATGAGTCATTAAATTTATGTTACTGCCAAACATGATGAAGAAAATGAGAAGATTTGGGGTTTATTGCTAAACTTTAGAAATTACAGTCAATTTCTAAACTATAATGACGAATTCATTCTAATCATTAGTCAACCCTCAACTACTAAAAAGATCTCACCGGAAAGTTATGGATTATCCACACTACAAATGGGGAGACACAGAAGTTGTTTCCAAGTAGGGCAAGCTTGCACCTGCCTGGAGTTATGAGTTCAAAGTTATAAATAAACTAAAATCTGTGAAGACCAGTTTAAGTCTGTGCAGCTGTACTTGTACAATATATATACACTGAGTTTAGGAACTTTCTGGAACCCAGAGTTTGTGGAATAGGCATTCAGCTGCCTCAGCAATACATATTACACGCAGATCATGTACTTTGTTTGCTACAAGGCATAAGATTCACACTGTTAGTGGTAAGCAGAGATTTAATTTAATTCAAGTATGAATTTTAACTGCAGGACCATCCATCCAAATGCCTGCTGTCTAATTTCTTATGCAGGTGGAATAAGCAGCTGAAGGAATTTTCTAGCAACTGAAGGGAATAACAATCAAGAGTCCTCTGATACCTCTGAAGTAAGTTTACCCTGCAGTCTTCCATAAAGATATCTCATCTCCCTGTTGCCTGTGCTGCTGTTCTCAGCCCTTCTCAGGTGACAGCATTTCCCTGTTGTCTTATCTTACCTTCCTTTCTTCTTCCTTGCTTTCTATCAGCTCATAGTTTCCAGCTACCTCTCCTGGAGCTCCTTGCTCTTCTGGTGATTGCTTTAACTCTCAGCTCACTCCCAGCTCATGGGGAATGAGTTAATTCCACAGACTGATAAAGATTCTCTGGATGACTAGATTCCAGTGGGAATCAGTTCCTAACACAGGAACATGGAACTATACTCACAGCACAGCTTTCAGTGTTGTCAGGTCGGTGAGGAATGATAAAAGACAAAGCATCCAAGGACCCTTGACAGTTCAGTGGAGTATAGGATGTGTTCTTGCAGCTTGTCAGAACCACATAGTAATGGGTTGGGACAGGGATTTTTGTATTGTTTACATACCTACAAAACAAACATTAGTTAAGGCATTTTTTGAGGTATCAAATATTAACACCACTGATACAATTAGAAATTTGTAGGATTTATCTCAATATATATCTTTCAATGCTATATGACTTAAATTTCTTTTGTAATTGAAAAGAATACCTGATGGGATACACAGCCGTACCATTTATTTTATAAACAGCCAAACATACCTGGATTACTCTGCATGCTACAAGCAGTCCAAGTGAAACAGGACTGCTTTACATGGTCAATACTCTATTTTGCCAGAGCTAGAGATCTCTACATCTGGAAGAGTCAGAATAGAGAATCATATTTGCCCTTCATTATACGAAGAATTTCAGCCACATGAATTGGAGGAGAGTGATGAGAAAATTAACTTCTGACTCTTTGCCATTGAGAAATGCCAGAACAGTGATTTGTGGCTGTGTGCTGTAGAAACCACTTTAGGATACTCAGTTGAAAATGTCTTTGCTGCTCTTTTCTGACTATTCTGCAAACATGGTCAGTCTTGTGTATAAAGAGCTGAATGTTTCCCAGGCTTTTTTGTTCACTGTTGAACAAAACACTATCACTGAAATTACTATACTGCTTTGCATGACTGTCTAACCATGCTGACTAAAACATGCTTATTGCAAACTGGAGGCAGCATTATGTGGTCTGCTGGGTATTACAGCATTCTGCTTGGAAGGAAGTTGTAGTGTCTCCTCCCTTCCACCATCCTATTACGTGGCAGGCTGATTTTCCCATTCTCAAACCATTTTTAACAGATGTGGTCAAGTCTAGCTTGAATAAAATATCTCCAGAGATAGCTTCAGCTGTGCAGATTTCCCAGCACCTTTCTATTCCATAAATGCTCTTAGTATCACAAGGTATTTTCCCTAATCTAAGTTTTTCTAATTCTGTTTTTATTTCCTTATATTCTTATTCACTGACATAAATAATTGGTCTTTATAATTTACGTATAAAGATGCCAGATGTTGCAGTAAGCTGTGTAAGCCATAGTTACACAAATGTACCTCTCAGGAATGTTACATTTTGCATTTCCAGTTATGTGATTCAGTGAAGGCAAACACACAGATCTGACCTTTGATGAAATACATCAGTTTGAGACAGTAGGAAGAAGCAACAGGCAGGTGAGTGAGCACAACATCAAAGTGAGAAAATCATACTTAAGCATGTCTTCTGCATGTTTAAGTGTCATATTCTCCCAGCATTTCTGATGCAGAGGCACAAAATCTAAAATCTAGGCATCATCTCGGGAAAAGAATTGCTAGTCTGTACCTGTGCATGTGTATAGAGATACACATGTAACTGCACAGCTTTTTTACTCTTTACTTGAACTTCAACTTCCATGGGACTGTACCTGTTTGCAAGAGCATTTCCTGTTGTATGAGTAATAGTGGATATAGGATTATAAAGAGAATAGTGCATTCTCCATGATACTTGTTTCTTAGTCTTTTTAAATAATAGGGGGTTTTTGTGTGGAAACACAGTGGAAGTCATACAGAGTTTGACTTCTAGCTTTTCCATGTACTTACTGCTTAATTTCATCAGGGCTATCAAAATGGCCATCATAATTGTAATCAAACACTGGTCCACTGACAACGTTTACCCCATTCCTTTCTCTAGCATACTTCTGAAGAAGCACATTATGGAAATAGTCCCATATGTCTGTCATAAAAAGAAAATATAAGCAAAATTAATATCAATTTAAAGTAATTTCACCACTGAAGAAAAGTAGCATATTTGTGTTTTCACTGTAGATTAATAAAAAAATTTCAGAAATAAACTGCCCATAAAATCAACTCTTTGTTACACAAAATGTGGATTTCATCAGAAGGGACATACTCCCACTTGCCATTGAAAGAGGTGCTGTAAATGCTATTATAGTCCTGCAAGGCAAATTGCACTACAGGTGTTCATATTTATTTGATCTAAAGCTGAAGCTACAAATCTACAGCTGAGAGGTCATTAATTTCTGGCTGATGTGCCTGTACCTGCAATGTTACAAAGAGTAGGAACTGACATAATGGTTTTGGGAGAGGAATACTCACCACCTGAGTGTTAGTTTAACTGTAAAGAACTCATACCAAACATCACTAGACAATTTGGCTTATTTCACAGATGTAAATCAAGAAAATACAAATTACAGGGCATAAGATAGTGAGATTATTCAAATATTCATAACTGGCATGGCAAAAAACCTTATGGGTTCGATGCATTGAGGGCATCTCCTATTGAATTACCTGTTATTTATGGTCTATAGAAACTTCTTGTCATTTTCCTTGAAAAATTGGATTTATCACAGTCCATGATTTACTTGGGAGATTAAAGACACTTAGGTCTTCTGTATCTCTGGTTTTTATATGAGTGAATGAATAAATGAGGTCTGAGTATATTAGAAAGGTAGTTACATAATTGGGGTTTTTCCAACTTTTTTCTTACACAATTCCTCGTTTTATGCATTTTCTAAGAAAATTAGCCCAGGCCTAAGAGTAAAACAGGATCATAAGCACTTATAGGAAATTTCTTGTCAATGATTACAAATGTGAGTTAGGCTGGGTGGGAAGAGCTTACCACTCTTCCATAATAAAAATATCTATTATAGAAATAGTATTGCAAGATTAATATTGTTGATGTTTTCTGTTCAGATTTTGAAAAAAGAAAAATTGCCATTTTCATACACCTAGAGCATATTCCCAAGGGAATGAGAGTTTCATAACTGGCACTTTATGTTAGGACAGCCCAGAGGAGATGAAGAGCAAATTCAAAAGCAAACAGGTAAGCAGGGATAAACAGAATCCAGATGGGACTATACAAAGAAAAAAAAATCCCATATAATTGTGCTATAATTTTTCAAACATCTACTCCTAAAATATTTTAAGTATATTTTCACAACATCTGGATATACAGCAGGCCATGCATTAATGTTTTAAAATTGTGATAGCTTTATCAAATCCAGAACAATAATTATAGAAAATTAATCATAATTAGTCAAAATTTTGCATCCTACCTTTGAAAGCTTCATACATGGGAACAATATTGCTGGTGAGTAAGGCATCATACTGTTCAAGATCAGATGAATTGTAGTCTATATAAAAAGATCAAAATATAAGTGAATGGAATTCATATGTCACTATAATTTACAGGTACAAGTAGTTCAATTACATGTTACATTTGAGCATGAGTGTATGATCCTACTGCAAACATATCCCCAAATTTGTTCAAGAAATCTACTCAATAAATAATATTTACCAAATCTGAAAATAGGAAACGAATATTTGTGCAGAGGAAGAGGGATAGCCTTTCCTTCCAGCCCTTTACATCATTCCAACCAGCTTTCATCACATTCAAGTTGTCACATGTTTTAAAAAAAACCCTTAAATATTCCAAACCAAAAATATTTAGATACAAGTAGCAACTGCCCTACTTTTGGTCAGTCTGCAAACACTGGAAACCTTTTTCTGCCCAACATGCTGATCCAAAGAAGTTTGTTTTGGTGTTTGGGTATATGTTTAAACATAAACCCACATCCAGCTGATTAAGACTTTCTAAGGTCGCTATAAAAAGAACCACACTCACTGGGAGGATAGAGGAAACTGTGGGTCAAGGTCAGCCCTTCTGTGTAGCTGGAACAATTTTGGCTCCAAGCAGCAGGGATTCTAACATCAGGCCGCAGACAGTCTGAAACAGTGGGAGGAAGAGGAGATGTGTTTTCCTGTGAAAAGGAAAAAAAAATCTTACACCCACGGCTGTGGCTAAGCCAATGCTTTGTATGGTTTTAACTTTCTAGAATGGACTTCATTGAATCCACTCCTATTTTCGTAGTGAATCAGGTCAGTGCAAGTAATGCACACGAATGTTTTCTGGGTAGTGTTTTTCTTCCACTTCTGTTTTTAGATAATTCAGGGAAATCCGTATGTACCATGTAAAACTGTAGAAGCAAAATAAGGTTACACCTTAAGCAAAAACAGATTTCACATTTGACTCATTCGTCACTTTTACATATTTCTGGAAACACAAACTCGATGTCACATCCTCCTGGAAAGCAGCTAGTATATAAAAATGACACTATCACCTCATCTTGGCATCTGGGGATGCAGTCTCCATAAGAATCTGTGCTGCTGAAGAGTTACAGATAAAGAAATCCACTGTAAATTTTGAACATTTTACTGGCTTTAGTAGCTTCACCAAAATATGTTAACATGCTAAGATCTGGCCAAAAGTGATTCTGATTACTATATTTCTTTCTATAACCTTCACCTTTTTTTTTGTTTCTATGACCTTTTCTACACACTTTTTCATAATTTTGCAATAACATTAAATCATCTGAATATTCTTTTTTGTGTTTAACTTTTTTAAATCCTCATTTACATGTAACTTATTTTAATTTTTGTAAGACTGGAATATATTTTGCATTATACCTTTATAAACAGAAGTTAAACATCTAATTTGATTTTCAGTATGTTATTTGTTTTGATCAATTAAAACCAAGGAAAAATAAAGAACTCATATATTCTTCTTGTGCCTCTTTGTACTCCTTGATATTATTTCTTTAGTTATTTTTATCAAAATTCAAGTAGATGCCATATTGTGATCAGGTTGTATAATAATGGAATACATATATTCCACATGGAATGAAATATAAAAGAGAAAATCTTCCCTTGAGTCCTGAGCAGCTCATGTGTCAAAAAATACAACCAACCAAACAAAAAACAAAAAACCCTAATTTATCACCAATTTGGTTCCTCCTATATCAGGTCAAAGAACCATAATGTCTCCTGAAGAAAGCAGTTAAAACTAAAAATTGGCTGTGCCTATCACATCATGAATTGTCCTTTTCAATGCCATTTATTACTTTTTTGATGAGCCAGTAATTTATATCAAGAAGCAAGAGTTATTTGCATTTCATGACAGAATTTAAGCATCTGCTGTGGTCTCCTTTGTCAAATTCAGTCTTTTTGCAAGAAAATGTGCCTTCCTCCCTGGCAGAGGAGTGTAAAACCTCAAGAAAACTAATGTTCTTCAATCTTAAATTTTCCTTATTCCTGAGAATAATAAGTAATTAAAAAGCTGACATCTTTTATTTAAGATCTGCAAGTATATGTTATTAATCCAGTTTCAAAACCTCCTAATTACACAAATCCAGCAAAAGTCCAGCTTGCATTACCTAGTTTAATATTTGAGCACTTCTTTAACAGCTACATAATGATGATATAACCTAGCTTACAAATAGTGTAAAGCATTGCACAGGCTGCATCCAAACACAATTAACCCAGGGTACAATAAAAATTCTGTAGAAAGGGCAAGTTTCTGTCATTCCCAAGCATTGCAGCCAAACCTCACCAACAAAGGCATTAGCTCTATCCCTCTGTCCTTCCCCAGGTGTTATAATTTACAAAGCCTATTCCTCTTGATTAGCACATGCAATAAAAAATCCTAATGTCAGTTTACTGTGCAAGGTAAGTCAGTGTGTGAGCTCTTACACTCAGAGTCTTTCACTGTTGTGTCTCTGGCACTATTACAGATGATTTATGATTTCCTATTCTTTCTACAGAAAACATACATCACTGTATTAGTCTGCTATGACCTATATCCTCCAATACTTCAGTCTCAGTCATTCACTGCTTCCCACAGTGTTGCATAAACTGCCATAAGAAACTCCTGCAAAATATGTATTTCTCCTAATTCAGATGTTAAGTTGAGCAATAACTTTCTTTATACACTTCCAGTATCTGAAGGGGACCTACAGGAAAGACAGAGAGGGACTCTTTGTCAAGAACTGTTGTGATAAGACAAGGAGCAATAGGTACAAATTGAAAGAGGGGAAATTTAGGTTAGATATTAGGAAGAATTTTTTTCATGTGAGGGTTGTGAGATGCTGGAACAAGTTGCCTGGGTAGGTTGTGAATGCCCTAACCCTGGCAGTGTTCAAAGCCAGGATGGATAAGGCCTTGAGCAATCTGGTCTAGTAGGAGGTGTCCCTGCCCATGGCACAGCTGGATTGGGATTAAATTATCTTTAAGGTCCATTCCAACCCTTTAAATTCCTATGATTCTATGATTCTTTGCTAACTGAGAATTTATTTTTCAACAAAGGAAAATGTCTGAAAAGTTATTTGGGTTTTTGAGCTTTTTTTAAGCTCAATATTAAGAAGACTGCAGCTCTGATGGGACTTTTCAATCTTTTTAAAGCAAAATCAGACAAAAAATACGCCCACAATTAACTAGTTTTCAATTGGGTAATGCACTTCATTGTGAGGTTTAAGGTCAGATCTTCAAACATGAATTATCAACAGTCCTTGTTGAAATGGACATTTGTTTAAATGACTTTTAGCCTTCTTATGATTGGATTCATGATCCTTCAACCAAGATAGTGAAGAATCAGTAGAAGGTATGGAGTGAAACTTTATGAAATACTGTCTTTTTAACAGCATATATTTGATTAAAATAATTTCTTCATATTTGTACTGATGAAATAGGAAATCACATAGACATTAATAACAATCCTCTTCAGACAGAAGAATCAACATAGAAACTATTTCCTCAAGGCAACTTAGAAGAAGGGTCAAATTATAAGGGCAAGTAAGCCCATGAATGTCCAATAGGTTACTGACCCTAAAAACTCAGTTTATTCTGGATCCGCGTACCCTTGAACACTCAGAGGTTCATTCAACTATAATTACATTTTCAGAAATTATATCATGTAACAGAGAGCAAAGAACACACAGAAATATGCATTAGTGCAAACTGTCTTGTAGAGTAGCATAGAGGGCATTTAATAAGAAAAAGATTATGGTACTCATAGGAAAGCTTAAAACTTCTGATTTGGGAAATCACAGCCTGCTTTTCCACAGGAACTGACAGGCATGATGGAGAATTGTCTTGACAATTCTTGTAAAAGGTATATCCCTTTCACAGAACAGGCTTAATAGAACCAGCTCACCAGCTGCTCTACTCTCCTGTATCTTTTGTGTCCCTAACAAATGGTCACTCCCACTTCTCAAAACTTTAAGATAGCTGAATTTTAAATGACATCAAAGGCACTTCTTCTGACACAAGTGCCTTAGTCACATGACATCCACCAGCCCTTAAATAGGGCTCCCGATGAATGGACTACATTTTTAATCCATTAGTTCCCATATATAAGAGTAGTAGAGATATTTGATAACCTACAGGCTTATTCACAGTGTATGCAGTCCACAGTGGCATCCAGATATCATAGCTGTATCCGCTCACATACTGATGATGGGAAAGGAGGCAGTAGACCTTTTCCTTCTGAAGAAATCTGGGTCTCCCATATGGCAAATGAGATGAGCTTGCCTTCTTTACTAAAATTTAAATAATAATTATTGACTTATTCTTGTATAACATTTTTGGATGGCAGAAGGGGTTAAGAGAGCAGACAAAAATTGTTAATTAAAACTAGCAAATACAAATAGATACAACAGTAAACTTAGTCATGTGGTTCTCTAGGCTTATAAGCAGAATAAAAATGTAGAAAATCGTTTTCATATTATATTTAATGCACAAAAGTCAGTATCAGATTTGCAAATTCACGTTTCTTTGAAATTTCATATCAATGCAAATATATTGAATTTATCTCACCAGTTGAGTGAAATTTATATCTTATTTGATGAAGAGGCATTACAATATTTCCCACAATTTCCAGAAACCCCATAAAAAAGTAGAAAGAAGTATCTATGGAAATTTTTGATCAGAGAAATGTAAAGTAATGGATACAGGGTAAGGAACAAGAGTTATGTCACATAGCCTGACATTGCTCAGATTTTCTTCAAGACTATTGAAATCTTTATGGTTTTTTCAAAAATTTTAATGGGGTTCAGATCCTATTCCCATATATACATGCTGCTATAACGGAGTCCTTTAGCATTTTTAAAGAAATGAAAAGGAAAAATTAAAAAAATATATGCTTCTGACCTGATTTTCCTACTTCACTTTCAATTGTAATTAACATTGCAAAAATTCCCACTGAAGCCGTGACATAAAATATAAACCAGGTGTAGATTTAAAAATACTGCTGCTCTTTTCATTTTTTGCTACTTACTTTCTTCTGTGGTGAGATTTAGCCTCTCGTTTAGCTTTTCCAGTGACTCAGCTGAAGTCTGTAAAAAAAAGAACCATTCAAAATTATTCCATTGTTTAGAAAAAATGAAGAAAGCAGAACACACTTGACAAAGATGATTAAAAGACGCCAGAAACCCCTATTTACTTGTGTGCAGTTGCATCCCAGGTTATCTGCAGGAGTCAGACTGGAAAGTGGACATAAAGAAGGAGGTGAGACTTCCTTTGGATGTGATGGATTGTAAAAGGGTTTCTTTAAGAGGTGATTCAAGCTGCCATGTGTTCCATTGTTTTCTGCTGGTGCTATATGCAGCAAATCTGTTGAAACATTTGAAATTTGTAAACATGTTTTAAGACTAAAACAGTATTTTAAAAAGTTATTCTCTTTCCAAATCTACTCATTTCCTAGTCATTTTTAAAGGTAGTAGAAATAGCTTATTCCATTATTTAAACTATTACAGTAACTATTCCAACCAACTTGCAATTTTCTAGGTGTGAAGGTTCTTGGCTATCTTCCACTGCATCAAGATTTAGTAACTACAGATTTGAGTACTGTTGGTACAGTTTTATACATTGCCACAACATTCACAAGATTAGATGGTTTAATGCAAAGTAAAAATGCTATTGCAAGTGTGTCACATTGTGAAACCTAGTAGCCTGTTCCATTTTTGTGTGATGCTTTAAGCCATCTTTTCTGAGGCTCATGCTTCCTAATTGTGCACTGCTGGGATTGCAATGGTCCATCCTAAGTCTTGAGCAAGAGCAGTTATTCTCTATAAGATTCTTATCCACAATTCCACAGGCATCAGTTTGACAGCAAACCCACGTGGCAGGTGTGGTTCCCTCTGATTCTAAAGGAATTCTTCTGCAATCAGAAAAAACCTTCAAAACAGAACAACTTCTGGAAGTCAATTTCTGAGCAGTGTAAAGAAGGCCTAAGAGCATGGCTTCAGTGATTTTGCTTCAAATGAATTTACTCAATTTTTACCTATGCTTCTTTTAGCTCTTACAACACTGGTATTTGAAAATACTAGAACTTTATCATTTAAAGTATTTGATTGTTTCTACTCACCACACATAAGGTTGTAAACTTCAATGTTTTCAAAAGCATCCACTTCTGTTTTCTCTTTAAAGCTTGGGCCATATGCTAAGAATATAGCCTAGATTGTAATAGTAATAATAAAAATCAGTTATCTAAAGATATCCAAAGTCAAAACCAATTCAGTTGCACTTTGTGAAAACTGGGGCAATGGAACAACATTGTCTTTTCACAGTTACAGAAGTTAAAAGTATAGGATTGTTCTGGTAAGGAAGGCAAATTTCTGCCATTGCACACAATTTGAAGTAAAATGCAAAGCAAAAAATTAATATTTTAAACTATATAATGAATCTTATTTGGTTTCGGGGTGTTTTTTTAATGCCTGTTGTACTCAAGTCTTTGGGTCACTTAAGAGTCTATGGCCATGGTTAAAGCAAGGAGCAGGGAACTGCAGAGGCCCATTGCACCCTCAGCAGAGACCTGCACCTGTAACACCAATGGCACAATGCTGTGCTGGGCAGCCCTTCTGGAGCCTGCAAGGCTTGTTCCAGAACACTGATCTATGTGCAGTCTCACACGTGTTTCTACTGCTTTGTGAGCCTCCTGAGCTGCCTGCCAGGAGATATGGGAAACATGAGTAGCAGGACAATGATCTGTTCTAAAATAATATTATGTGTCCATAACAGAAAATGAATTTTCAGTTTATTATAGAAAGATGACATGTTGCTCTCTTCTTAAAAAATAAAAAAAAGCATCAGTTGTGGCACCCGTGTAAGGTTATCTATTATTAAGGTTTCCATGGTAACCAGAATTTACCTTTCTTTCCATACAAACATTCAGCATGATTCTGATCACTGACATTTGGTTTTAACATGGTTATAAAGATCTGGAAGGATCTGATTCTTAGGCACAGAATATGGGACTTAGAGTGGCATGCCTGACCTTAGTTAAAGGTTCACATCACAGAAAATACACGAGACACCAAAAGCTGAAGACCAAAAAATGTTTTCACAGTAACCAGAATGAAAATGAGCTGAAACTGCAACACAGGCTATACCAACACACAGTAGAGCTAATTACTTTTTTGTCCTGATGATATGACTGACTCTTGTAAGATAAGCAGCAACAATGAAATTTAGTTTATTTGAGCATACAGTCTTCCAGATGTTCAGATGAACTCCCTGACCCTATGGAGATTTTTTGGTCATTGCCTCAGTGGAGGAATGAAAGAACAAAAGAATTCAGTGGCTAAACATGGTAGACTTGGTTTACTGAGGTCTACCTGTCTCCAAGCAGGTAAGGTAAGCCCAGACTGTTTTTACTACAGGACCCCAAAGACACAGGCCTTGTACACATTGATGAAAGGCAATACAAATATTTGGACCTAGTATGTGTTTACAGTTTACATATCTTGTGGCCAGAAAAGAAAAAGCGCACTGCAAAAAATATCTTTGTTCTGTATTCTGGTGATTTACCTGGCACATCATGATTTTGTATATAAGAAAGTGCAAGAATAGAATAGAAATCATCTTACCTCCATACTTTTGAATTCATTGTTATAGCCATGGTTACCTCCATCACAAGATGTGTAACTTTTATCCCTAAGGAGAAACCACCACAGAGTGTAAATAAAACTTGACACAAACACAAGCACTTAGTAACAGTCATTGTGACTTACAGACTCGATCATTCCTTGAGAATTGACTCTGCCATCATATTGTAGTATTTATGGCTCATCATAGCATTCATTTCCATGAAGACCTCTTTCTCCTCCAACAAAAAATTGCTATGGACAGTAATAAATTATCCTCGCTGGCTGTGAGTGTACAGTGAAACAATATTTTCAAAGCAAATTGAAAAAATGGATCTTTTTGAACTGAGGCCTTTACCTAGCTGCAGGTTGCAAAACAAGTGTAATCTATTTGGAAGAATTCCTAGTTGTATTCTTTGGCATTTTAACTGAAAACTTACAATGGGAGAACTCTGCTGTTACCCTCTGTGGAATAATATAAATAAGACCTGCAAGGGATTTTGCCTTACAAACAGTGCATTTTCATCACGGATTCTGAAGGGTGAAAAGACATAGAAAATGTGGGGATGGGTTATGGAATTAACAATGCAACAGAATACTCTGACATAGTGACTAACACTTATATTTATCTACACATTGCTAAGACACATAGAAAAGTAAAGAGATAGTCACTCCATACCAATTCAATGCACAATTGTGAAGTACAGGTATCCTGTTTTCAGAGGCCCAAGAACATTTGAACACAGTTTAAAATAGGGTAATTATAAGATACTTTTTTCATGTGCACATTTCTTTTTTGTGCGTCCAGGACAATTATTTGGTTTCACCAAAACAACCATGTTTCCTTTTTACACACAGTATGATTTTAACTGTAACAAACATGGAAATGTAACAAGTCTAAAGCAAAACAGGAAATGAAGCACCTGTGAAGGAAATTAAAAGGATGAGAGTGGGATGAAAAAAACAGCATAGCAATCACACAAATTATGTTACCTCACAGCCAGCCACTGTCGATCCACCAAAAGATGAACTTTATCAATACGAATGTTGTTAGCATAGTGGAATCGTTTGGGCAAGTCAGGGGTCAGGTAAGGCTTGAAGTGCTGAGGGGATCTTCTGCACTGTGAAAGAGGAAAGAGTCCAGTCACGAGTTGTGCTCAGTTTCAAAAACCCACCCATCATTCAAAATTATCACAAATATCTTAGTGATAGGAATGCAAGCACAAAGCCCATTATTCACAGATAGCTCCTTGCATGACCTGCAAATGTCATTTTTGGCCCCAGAAGCAATACAAGGAAAAGCTATACTTTTTTGGAACTCTTTGAAAATAGACTACATACAATTTGTATATCAAGTGTACAGATACTGTGGTAAAAGTACATCTAAGGCTTAAAGACACTCAGTAGAACTGTTTAGTCTATGTTAGTCTATATTTCCATACTAATGCCATTGGCATCTCATTGGTATGGTTACACTTCACAAGAGAAAGTTCCCTGGAAGTTTATTTCTGCCACCTTCTGTCACTTTACCATTCAATAAATAACAAAGCAAGCCAAGCATACACAATTTAGCACAGTCTAGGGTTTTAGCTGCAAGCCTGAACATGTAAATATCCTTTGCTCAGCTGTTAGATAAAGGTCTTAGCTTCTACACCCCCATTTAGTGAGTTCATATAACTGCTGCATTAGTAGGCGTGCCATGGAATAGCTTGGAGTTGTGAGCCTAATGATAACCATATGACATACTGCAAAGACTTAATTACATATGGCCATTAGAAGCCATTCCAGCTGGCTGCAAGCATCATGGCAAAATTTCAGACGTGTTGCTCCAGATCAGGAATCCAGCACTGGGATAAGCCAGAATATCTAAAATGCTAAAGGAAGAGCTGCTAGGAAGCTGGGTAGGCCACAGAAGCGGACCTGTTTTACCACACAGGCTGTGCAAACTATTCTATGTTTGGAGTCTGGTCTGACATCTTCACTTCCAAATACTAGAATTGTATGCTCTAAACAGGATACAGACTTTGCCATGTGACATGGGAGTAACTGTGCCTCAGTAGTCATCAAAGAAGAGCAGAAGAATCCAGGAACATGAAAAATAAGTAGGTTTGCTAGCCCAGAAGAAGAGGTCTAACTAAAAGGAAAAATAGAGGAAATCAGCATATGACTTATGTCCATTCATTAGCAATAAATATAAAACACACAACTCCCTTTTCTGCAAAAACTCCTCATTTTAATAACTTGACAGGGACAAAATACACCAACCATCTATGAAGAGGAAAGGAAAGAGGGCACGTCCTAGTACCAGACTATTCCCATAAGGCACGAGATGTCACATCTCTGTAACGATTAGCAGTAGCAGTTTCAGCTGAGGTTGAGAACATGCAGATTGTGATATTCCCCTCACACCGATGCTCTTTGATGCAACAGACTCTGCATCATACAGCGAGGCCGGAGGTGTAGCACTGAGAAAGCTCCTTCAGCTATTCCCAGCCATTGATCCTACTCAATAGGTTAACGGGAGACCTCTAGTGGAGATTTATCGGAAACGTATCCATTTGGGAGCCCAGGATTTTGGCAAACTGAGAGCATTTTTATAAAGGTACCGCAACACCTGTCTACTGCTTAGCACAAGATAAGCCACAGAATAGAAAACAAAATGGCAATGAAGAAAACAAGGGGAATTTATGACAGCACACTGAGAGTAAACAGTTTAAATGTTTAACTCGGTGTAAATTGTAAAAGGAAAGAAATACAGAAAGACAACTGTCCTACAATTTTTTTAGTTTGGCCAGCACATTCATCCCACATATATTAATGTATATCTTGAACACTACAAAAAAGTGACAGAGACTGAATTATCTGTCTAAAAAAGTATAAGGAAAGAGAAAAGAACCATGCACTATCACATCACCCTTTAGTAAAAGAAATAGGTTTGGTCTTCCTTTGTTTTGCACTCTTTTCTGCACTTTGTTTGTATCCTTCAGAACTCAGCTGTCAAAGTGTGCCCACATGGGAGACACAGGCAAGCTTGGACCTGCCCTCAAGTGCTGAATCCATTCAGCACGGCTCAGTTCAAGCAGAACTACCAGTACGGGTCCCTGTCATGGTGCAGCATACATAAAAGCACTGCAACTATTTCAGTGATATGTCAAAAGATCCTAAGAGAGTCATACTGCCTGATGCCAAAGGCCCATCTTGCCTAGTACTCTGTTTCAAATCAGACCTCCAAAATTCCTAGAATCAGACGCTTAGAGAAAGTGCATAAAAACAAGCCAAGTATTGAATGAAGTTTCTTTCTCATACCTGCTTAGTTTCTTCTAGGCCTCAGGGACTTTTTGTCAGATGTTCCTTGTGGATCAGGTCTAAAAGCCCTGCAGTGCTGTCCTGCATTAATGTGTCCCCCCCACCCTTCTACTTATATTTCCAGCCTCTACAACACTTTGTGGCAATGTACTCTATGATGTCATTATCTCTTGTGTGGAAAAGTTACTTCAGCTTAGCCTGAGTGCAGCACTTGTGTTCCAGTGCTAACAGATACCTATTGTCTAAAGCATCTCTGTGCTGTATTCTCTTCTGTCATGAAGATATACCCAAGTTTCTGTCCCGGAAAGAGAAGAGGCTGACTTCAAAGTGACGTACAGAACAATTTTCTCTGAACAGAGATTCCTTATGGCGAACATTTGTGCATCATCTTTCAACAACTTTGAGAATTGCCTCCCAAGGTACACTGGAGTCAGTACACTATTTAAATTGGCACCATAGTCTCATTTTTTTACAAACTGTGTTTTTCCCTCAGATTCCTATTAAGAGTAGCTATGAGTAAAAGTTATGAGAATATTTACTCACTGTGAGGTTTTTAACGATTCCATCTGAGTCAACTGTTAAAAGAAAAGATGAATTAATGTACATTTGAACGGCTGAAGGACAAAGCCTCATGAGAAAAACTTAAACATGCTTTTTTGTCTATAAAGTTGGTTTTCTTTATTAGCTTGTGAAGATAGTGGCATTCCTTCCACAGGCAGGAATGTTATGTTTCCAATGGTAACTGCCTTTAGGTGTGCCTGTGGAAGTAACTAGAACACTAGAGCTTTGGATACGTCAAGACAGACTGTAGAAAACTGCCATGGTGATGACTGCCTACACCTAAAGCTGACAAATCCTCAGACCCAAGGTTTTTTCTCTTATCTAACCTCTGGTTGAAGTCCAACCTTTTTTTCATTGAACAGAACCTGGAGAACTTGTCTTATCTTTTGCTTCCAGCAACAGTCACAGAGGAAATTTCAGTCTATCTTGATATTTTCACCTTGCACATTTTGAAAGAGTAGTTTAACCATTTGACATTAACTTTCTAAAAAGAAAATCTGAGCACTTTAGGGAAGAAAAATTCCTACAGAAAAATCTAAGACTATTAGAGGAAATGAGTCAACAATTTTATTGAGATTGAGACACAGAAAAACCATGAGTATTCTTTCCTCAGCTCATTACTCTGACTTTGTATGCCTTAAACCAATGAAAGTCTGCTTTATATCATATAAATAGTGTGCCTTCAAACATAAGTACAATTATAAAATATGAATAAAAAGTACAGTGGGATCCCAGCTCTTATTTGCAACCTGCAACAACTATCCCTTTTACAATACTTTACAAATTCTTTGAAGTCAATAAATAGAGCATTTCCACAATTTTATCTCTGGTTCTGGGAAAGTTCTAGGATTTTTCTTCCAGTCTGGTAGCATGGTATCTATTTCAAGTCAGAGTCAGCTCAAATAGTTTCCATTTTCTGTTCTTTTGAGATACTAGCTAAAGGGCTTAACCAAGGCTTAGATTCCACTGTGCTAAGGTTCAGACTCTGTAACTTTGTACACACAGAAATATTCATTACTTCAAAAAGACTGACTCTGCCAATGTTGCACAAGAAATCTGTGAAGAGCAATGCACTTATGAAAGACCTGAATTCCAGCTAAAAAAAAAAAAATACTACCTTTACTTCGTTTTTCCATGTCAAGAAAATGCAAATTAGAGTTTTCAACAATCTTTTCTAAACTTCAAATTCATCTAAAGTGGTCATTCTTCAAAAAAAAAAAAAATCCTGAACAACTTCCATGGATGTTGAAGCCAAATTAAGGGAAAAAGACAGCTGCTCACACTGCTGATTACTACTGACTATCCATTTCCTCATTTATTTATTTGTTTGTTTGTTTATTTTCTGCTATATTGATTGCTCAGTCCCAGGATTGGTCCACACTTACAGGTAAAATAGTCCTCTGGAACATTCTTTGCTCGAATGCGAGCTGCAGGCCCAGCATACAGGTAGAAATCCACCTCTTTGAAGTAATTAGTCATATATTCTAACTGCTTGCAGTAGGTCCTCTCCATCCCTAAAGGGCAACATAGAAACAGCACTTTTTCATATGGCAAGGAAGATAAAGTGATTTATAAAATAGATTAACACTACTAAGCCCACATATTTCACACAGGAAGAAAACAGTGACTCAGTAAAGTTAACTTGAAAAAATAAGTATATACATTACCATGATCAGCTAAAACAATGAGGTTTACACATTTGTGTAGGTTTCTTTGTTTAAGTCCATCCATGAGCATCCCCACTGCTTTATCTGCTGCCTGTAAGGCTTTGATTACCTGTGAGAGATAAACCAGTTACATCTAAGATCCTTAAAGGCTGAACTTTTTGCCATCATGCAAGTAAAAATGTAATAGTTTTGGGTTACAAATTAGTAAACATTGCAGTACAGTGTAGGAATAAATAAAAGACAGGTCTGAGGATTTGCCAGGCCACATGCCTCTAAATATCACACAGTAATACAATTAAAGTTCAGCCTAAATATAAATATTAATATTTATTCTATTAGTATGATCTGAAATTATTTTGTGCCAGTCTGTTTGGTTAATGGTTCTTTTGATTCACACACAGTGTGGGAATCATAACATTAGCCTCAACCACAAACAAAAGTTCTTAACAAAAAGTCATAAAACAGTCATGGCAATTTTTCATTTACTATCCTTTCCAGGTCTATAAACTGGTTAAGTTCATAGTGCAACACCATTTTTAGTGAAATTAAGTATAAGAAAAATATACAAACTACTTACACCAGCACTAACTGGTCCAAATGAATGTCCAGAAGAATCTGGTTCTTCAATATATAAAGTGTATATATCGGGCCTTGAATTAGAAATAAATAAGAATGGAACATTATGAGAATTTAGAGGCAGCACCTAAAGAGAACACTTTGATTAAAAAAAAAAAGTAATATTAAATGACATTTTAAAAGGAATTATAAATAACTTCTTTAAACTTTGATAACAGCCCATACAGCAAATATAATCATTCAACTTCCTCTGAGTTTTGTAATTAATCAGCATGGGCTCTTTTTGAAGTTACAGTTTCAGAAACAATATCCAGTGTCTTTAACAGGTAACCAGAAATCTCTCTGGAAAAATTGAAGATTTCAGACATCAGAGCAAACAATCCTTTTTGAGATGTAAATGGAACTACCACCTGAAAGAGCTCTTCCTGACTAAGCAGTCAGACTCTAGAGAGCATCTCCTAAATGCAAATACATTAGGATTTTATAAGCAAATTGTCAAATAAAATATTTTATTTCTTTACACATCACAAAGTTAACACCACGATCAGCATTGACATTTACTTTTCATCCTGAATTACTTACTGCAATTACTTTCATGTATTTAACCTTTCTTGTGCAATAGCCTTCATATAAAATCTTTCATCCACACATTTAGACTAGCAACTGAATGTTCAATGTTTTCTACAGGACATGCACCAAGAAAAAAGACACAACAAACAAATACAACTCACACAACAGAACATCCTGTTCAGATATATGTTCACTTTTTAATCTTTTGTGCCTACAGTCTTATCATAGCTATGATAAGATATAGAACGGGCTTAAGTTCAGCAAATAATCATGTAAAGTGATGAGGAAGCTTCCATTTTCACAAACACCAACATAAATTTCAATTGTTAAGCATTAAAATCTTTCTAAGCTATAGTCTCACAAAGTAGGTAGATATTACAAGGTGTTACCTCTCAGGCTGGGCATTATCAAGCCACTTCAGTATTCCTGAAATTCTCTCTTCATATGGAATTGACCTGAAAAGGACAAAAAAAAATTATGTCAACAAAACTTTCTGACTAGCACTTCTATTTCCTAGATACAGGGAAAGTGTCCATACTCTAGTCATATACAAAAGTCACAGATCTGGAGCTAAGAATGATGCATTTTAACGAAGTATAGCAATTCATTTTATTACTCTCATTTTTAATTGAATGTAGGCCACTTTAAGTGGTAAATAAGACAGACTCTGATTCTGCAAACACAAACCTGCATTGGTGGGACTACTCATATATTTAAAAATACATGCAAAAAAGGTATTTTAAGTTGAGGGAATAAACCTGAAATACAAGGTAGAATAATTTTTATTCTTTCCAGCATGTATAAGCCTTGGACTTTCATATTTTAACAGTAAGTAATAATCCCATCAAAACCTTTGTGAGATCATGCTTTGTTTCCTATGAGAGAATCCAGCCATTAAATAGCTCTGCTTTCCCTCAAAGTCATGCACAAGCTGTATGTTAGTTACTCACAGTACTTAAGTCTTTTCTGAGTACCAAGCCTACACATCACTGCAAAGCCTGTTATGTATAGAGACTTATGGTTCTATGATTGCTTTAGATTATCTTTTTAAGAATCATGGGAAGTACACTGCAATCATCACAATAATCAAAATCTAGAAATAATTTACTAATGTCAATGCCTTCTGTAGCAAAACAAACAAAATGGAAGAAATACACACACAAAAAAAACCCCACAACAAAAATAATGCCACAAAAACTATGAAGGCAATTGGTACTTCACATGTGCAACCTTTGAATGAACTAGAAAAAACTAAACAAGAACTATGATTCGACAGCTGTGTGCACATTATCAAACATGCAAGCAAGACCAGAGGAAATTCAGAGCCCCTCTTCTTTCCCCTAGTTGCTTCCCTATCTAGCAGTCTCTCTCCAGTAATTTGTCTCCCATAGCATCTTGCCATGGCTCCCTAGTTTGTGTTTGTTGTCTTAGGGTATAGGTTATCTGTTAGCTTATTCTCAAGTGCAAGTATTTTTAGAGTGCTATATAATAGCTGTTGATTTTATGCATGGAAATATGGCAATTAGTGGTGCAGCTTAGCAGTGGCTACTAATAATTTCCAGGATGCTCTCCTAGTGTTTTGCATTTGGCTAAGACTTCTAAACTGTCTAGAAGAGCAGAATGTACAGTACCCTTTGACTTTCTCATTGTGAATCCCCTCAATTGTTTTGAAATTTTCAAGTATTTTTGGTCATTCCATGGCATAACCAGGACAATGTGACATGGCACTTATCTGTCAGACTTGTTTAAAAATCTTATTTCATTTCCTTCAACTGTCACACAGAAGTTTGGGTTTTTGGAGTAATCTGCAGGAATTTAGTAAAAGCTGTATCAGATCTTACCCGTTGTATATGGTGTACAAGGTGGGGTATGTGCCCCCAATTGGAACATCAGAGCCTGGCCAAAAGAAGGTGCCTGCTTTCAAATTTTGGGACATTGCTGTCAGCCAGACCTTTGGGTAAAGATACAAACATATGATTTTCTGCCACAACTGGAGGACTTCAGATCACAAAAGTAGAAATTTGTACTGCAAGCACGCATTTTTCCTTCTCCTTTCACAGTTACCTAAGCCTGGAAACCATGATATTGTCATTTCCTGAGTATTCTCAGCACAGAAAAAAACATATAGGTATTTCTAGAAATGACAATGGGCAGTGATCCTTATTCCTGTGGCAAAGCCTAGGATCATGAAGATGGAAGAAGCTGCCTTAGGGATATTCAGACTTGGCATTAGGAAACATTTTATTACACATATAACAATGGAACAGGTTTCCTAGAGAGGTTGTTGCTGTCCTATGTCTGCCAGTGTTTACGAGGCATTTGGACAACACCTTTAAAAAATGTGATCTAATGTTTGGGCAGCCCAGCGTTGGTCAGGCAGCTGGACTAGATGATAACTGTAAGTCCATTCCAACTGAAATATTCTATTCTATTAGTTTCATTTTGTTGTGTATCTATTTCTATTTCAGATATAGATTCTAATTATATGATTTTATTATAAGAGAGCATATTTCTATTAATCCTAAAAAGTGCAGTTCTGGTTGTGTTACAAACCTGACGGAATCGTTCAGGAAAAAAGCCAGTACCAAAATCTAGGTATTTGACCATATTATAAACATCACTACACAGACACAGACAAAAACAAACACATATAAATGTATATTAAGTAACTACTACATAATATTATTCATACTACATATTGCACTTATTTAGGGGTGTTTCTGGCACCATTATTAGAGCTTGATATTTCTAGGAAATTAATAATATTAATCATAACCATAGGTACAATTCAGGGTTGTTGTGAAATGTGCCATACATTATATACAATTGACTTTTTTTCATAAATGAAGCTCTTTTCTACTCCCTTCCTCACTTTTAAATGCCTGGACATTTGCAAATAGATGTGTGTAAATAGATGCAATTTGGAAACCAATTTCATTTTGTAGCAAGTCATCAAAAGACAAGCAATAAAAATACCCAAAATCAAATCATACTGAAAATTTACTGTGGCTCCCTGTGACAAGAAACCCATTCCAGTACTAGATTAAATATTTCAGCCTTTTTTTACTAACTGCCACATAAAGTGCATAGTTTAAGTCTCAGAATTATTATTTTAAGAGTCCTTTTATTTTCATAACAAGCAAACTCTTTTGTAGGCAGCCTATAATATGAAGCCTACAGGTTACCTAGTACTTTCTGCAAACATATTGCACAATTTTTAATTTTATTCCCTTTTTGTGTTGTTTTATGATATGACACAAACCACCCTGGACATAAATACTGTATGACAAACAAACTTACTGGTTGTCCTTTCCACCATGCAGGTTTGAATTTTTCCTCCCCTGAAAGTGAGAAATGCGCATTCAAGCCTACATCATACATGTTGTTATCAATGATACCATGAGATTCTGGATACAATCCCTGTAAAATGAGAATAAACAAAATAAAACGCTTAGTCCTGAAATCAAATGGACCCTAAACTATGTTTCAATGCACACTACTACAGTGTTGCAATTTTTATAGAAATTTTTTATCTTAGAAGCAGAACACTTTCCTAATTCACAGAGATCCTCTTCCTGCCAATGAATTCAGCATGCCCATCAAATTCCCTTTTCCATATTTCCTTCCCAGCCCAATTAAAACCTGATGTGCTACAGATTAAGTACCCTGTATGTCCTGTGGCTGCATGTCAGCCGCCAAACCCACCCTAAAAAATGTTATCATCAAAAGGCTGTGTGTCCTCACCCATCCTCACCCGTATCCAATTAAACTGACAAAGATCAGGAATAACCAGCTCACAGACAGCACAGCATGTATAGCCACACAGATCATGCCTGTATGTACCATCTCAGCATCTCTCTCTCTCTCTCTCTCTCTGATATCTATAGCATGAGTTCCCATGCCCCACAAAAATACAGGCACCACAAAATCCTTTCTGTGTTATCTAGATAATGAAAAGGAAAAACAAAAATTCTCACTTACTGTGACAATAGTATAGTGGTTTGGAAAGGTTTTTGTAGGGTAAACAGCTCTCATGTATTTTGAATGTGTGCCACATGTTTCTGCAACAGATCAGGGTATTAATATATTTTTATTTTTTTTTAATTGAAAACTAACAGTCTTAAAAACAAACAAAAATCACCACTATCAGTTGGCAGATGGAGGAATGTCTCTCCAAAACAAAACTCATGCAATCCTGGTGTCTCCTTGTGAGCTAAGCCTACTGTCCCATTGCAGTCAGTGGACCTGGATGCCCAATTCAGGTACCTAAAGCCCAGAGGCCTAAGGTCCTTTCAGAAATCTTAATGATCCTATCTGGCTTTCAGATGCTCCTCCTCCATCCTCCCTTTATTTGGATTGGTCTGCCAATCCAAAAAAATTTCTCAGATACTTCTGAGATCCAAAATGGCCTAGCTATATATACTTATGCAACAAGATGAAGCCTGAGGTCAGACCAAACAAGGCACTCTGCAGATCTGATTGGTGACAGGCAGGGAAGGACTCAGTTGCTTAAGCACTGGAGCCAGGTGCCATTTGGGAAACCCTCTGATGTCCAAGACATCTGCATGAAAGCTGACAATTTTGATGCAAATCACTTCAAGATCTGTGTTCTGAGACAGCTACTGAAGGCCATGGCACTCTGAAATATACCAAAAACACAGATTAGGGCAACAATTTGTCCCATGGCCCCCTCTGTCTGTTGATTGAGCTGACTTGTCCTCAAGGTTCTTGCACTGTGCTGTGCAGACTATATTAAACATAAAGGCACTGACTTCAATGACCATATAATCATCTCACATGCAGACATCTGCAAGAATATGTCTAAATGCAAGTGTTCTGCCCTGGAGTGAATCCTGCCCCAGGTGTCCTACCTGTATCTCCAAACATTGCATTCATCAATCAAAGGCTTTCAGCACACAAATATCTGTAATGTCTAAATCCACTGTAAGATTCAACTTATTTACCCACAAAACAAATGCATGAAGACTGGAAGATGCTTTAATGATGTTTGTACATCTAACTCACATGGACAAAGTTCTATATTAAGCTGTAACCAGATGATTATTTCATTAGTGATCAAACACACTTTATTCATTGATATAGAGCATTTCAGCCAAAGAACAGAAGCTGATTTTAACTAAGCAACCAAAACAATGAAAGTGTGAAATTTCCAACAAAACTGTTCCAATGTGATACAGAAGAAAAAAAAAGGCTTAAAGAGTCTTTGAAGAATGACTGAATAATTGAAAAATCGAAAGATACAAGAAAATCAACAACATTTTTCTATGGATTTCTCTTGCACAATAAAGGATCTATATTCATAATGTACATATTTTATAAGCTTGGTTACCTTTACTGAAGTTCTAGGTTAAAGGAGTTAATAGAGAGGAAAGAGTTTATGTTACAAATCAACATTACATTTCTTTCTTATGCAAAGAAAGAAATTTCCCTTTCCTGTAGATTTCTGAGAAATATAAGCATGAATGTGCATAAATAATTGCTCAAGTTGACCACAAATGTGAGCAATGCTGAATTAGATGGGTTTTTGTTTCAAAGGATTTCCTGGAAACATAGACATAGAATGGTATTCATTCCTTTAGCCTGTTTGGCATTCCCTTTTCACCTTGTTTCAAAAGACTGGAACTGACTACTGACTTCAACATTCATGACCCCTTCACTGATTCAAGTTCCTTCCAGTCAGAATGATGTCACAGAATAAACAATTAGCCCAAGGAGTCAGGTTTGCACATTAGTTCAAGCTCAGGTTTCTGGATACTCTCATTACCCTCAAACAAGATTGTTAACTATTTGGTAAATGTGGCACTTCACAACACACATGTGATATTTTCAATGAGCACAACAGAAACATAATGTAACATACTCAGGACTGATACAAATACTGTCAACTTAGACTATTGCTGCTGAGAAGAAATCACTAAATATGGAGACATTTGTCCAGGTACAAAGTGTCTGGACATCTGATCTCTAAAATATGCAGGAATTCTAATCAAATATGCACTAACAGTCTCAATTTTGAGAGCTTTTTAAAGCACAAGGTAAAGATCTGCAACTTACTCTTCCTCACAAGAATCAGAGATGCTGGAAAATGGTTACTTGAGCCTTACTGCAATAATGTCAACATACTAACATCTTAAAATATCTGACTTGAAAAAAAAAATTTCCCCATAACTCAGTGTATTATACTTCCATGTTCCACTCCTTATCAGCTATTTAGCTATTTTTTAATGCAGTACTGAGGGTGCAGAAAATGCTTATCTGTAATTATTTCTAAGTTTTAAAAAGTATTTTAATGTATATTTAAAACTGTGTATTTAATAAAAAGCTGTTGACAAATATTAGAGGCCTTGTTAAAAAAAAAAAGTCATGTTTGCTGTGCAAATACAAGAAGAAATGCAGAATATATATAATTATATAATAATCAAAACTTACAACTGATGAGAGAGGCCTAATCTGTGATTTTTTTACTGCTGAGCTACAGAAATGCATGACAGTATCAAAAGAGACCAGAGAGGTTGCATGCACACTTTCAAAGAAAACAGTCAAAGACCCTTGGTAACTTACTGAGTTTTTCAATATTTGGCAGCAAAGAACTCCAAGTTTCCAAATATTCTGCTCTAAACCCATCCATTGAAAAAAGGATAAGTGGTGGGAGGGTAAATCTACAAGAAAATATAAATTTATCATCATAAGGAAGCTTGAAGAATTGGTGACTTATTAATATTTCTAACAATATAAATTCAGCTTTTATAAGCAGGATCTAGAGTATTCATTTGAGTCCCAGAATGAGTAACACAGTGTGAGATGAAGAAATAGTTCAATATTGAGAGAAAATAATAATAATAATCCTTCTGGTAAGAAACCAGAGAAGGAATAAAATACAAGTAATCATTTCAGTGATAATGTTTTAAAAAGTTACATATTTACATCAGGCAGTAATCACTATCCCAATTTGTTCTTATTAACAGTGATCTTTCAAAACACAGAAGCACACTAGCATCAATAGTTTGTTTAAAAACAGCCTGCATAAAGCAGCTTACTGATTTGAATCTGAAATTAAATGGATATGTATATTGCAATGTGGGGTATAGCACTTAAAGAAGCTCCTCTCCAATACTTTCCAAGCTTTAGCCTATGAAACTGTGTTACCTCAGCAAGTTATTTGTTAACCTAAAAAGTGTACTTTGATACTTATTTTGGGAGGTGCATGCAGGAACCACAAAATAACAATGCTAATGGTCTTAATGTTATAATTAAACTAAGTTGGTAGTAAAATAAAATGAAATAATAGATAATGCCACAAATACCATAACCGAACCAGAAATTAATTCATCTTTCTTCAAGGACAACTTTTAAACGTTGCTTCTGTCTAGCCTCTACCAACTATTCTTAAATCCTGCACAAATAGCAAAATTTTTTTCAGCATTTGTAGATCTACATCTATGTCATAGCTATCTTTTAAATACACCTTTCTTCCTGCAAGTAATTGGAGCAAAAATGCCCTGAATAGCCCTGTTGCGTAAAGAATTGCAATCACAGATTCTATCTGCTGTTACAGACTGCATAAGGTGACTTATCTGAGTTGTCAAAGATACAATATGGTAACATAAAATGGACTATGAACAATTTGTGATGCATGAACCTTGAGATAACTAACAATTTTTCCAGGTCTTTGCTGAATTTCAATCTGAATCTGAACTTATGTACTCTGCTCTAAACTGTAAATGATCAATGAATGACAAAGGTTTTTAAAAGAACAAACATTCCTAGTCACAAACCATTTCTACAGAATATTCCTCAGGGCAGGGACTTTACTCTCTATAAATATGAAAACCTGTTTCAGAACACTGGAGTATTTCTGACCATCACAAAGTTTGTATTTGCTAAGAAGACAAATTCCTTTATCCTACCCATCTGGACACTGAGGAGTTTCAACTGACACACATGGTTCTTCTACCCAAGATGTTTCACCTAAAAGGAAAAAAAAAATAGAGTTAGCACTGAACCTCCACCGCCACCAAAAAAAGCAGCTACCTGGATGATCTTTTTAAAGCTCTTCCTGTAACATTTTCTGCTTCAACAGAAATCTAGGGCTAAAGACATCTTTGCTTTAGAAACAATTTGGTGCAACCTAACTGTTTCAAACTCTGAAAGGACTAATGCTCACAACTGTAAGTCAAAACCAAAGAATATATGATACACAGAAAAGGAAAATAACAAAATGAAGAAAAAACACTATGAAAGCTTAGCCTTTTATTGAGATTTAAATTAAAAATATTCAAACTGTATCCTGTCCACACTGGGCTACTTATTCCTTTTTCCTTTTCTGGGTACCACTGACACACTTAGAGACAAGACCAGGGACACCCTTTAGTACTTTTTTTCTTTCTGTATGTTGCAGTTTAACTCCTTTTAGCTTTAATCTGCATTTTGTTAACAACTATAATTCTGCAGGAGTTGCCTCAGATTTATCCCCTCCCACAATGTAAAGGAATTCTGATAACAGATACCATGACACCATCATACTCCTCAAATGTCATTCCTGTAACTGAATTATACCTGCACTATTCTTTATGTGTTAAGCCGGAGCCAGCATGAAACTATTAGCCATGAACAAAGGTATCAAAAATTAAGTAAAACATACAAAATCCAATCCAAAACCAGATTTGTAATAAAAGGGATGGGAAATTTTAAACTAGAGATGACTACTACAATATATACTTCAGATTGTCTCCATCTATTTTTGGAGGAAAAAAGAGGGGGGAAAAAGTAAAAAGGAAACAATCCAAAGCCCCCACGTGGTATACTTCTGCAACATCCAAATTATTCTGTCTTTCTCATGAGTGATACAATTCACAGTGTTCTTCAGAAATGGTGTTTTTTACAGTCAAAAATACCAAAATCTTCATCTCAAAACATTCATTTTCCAAAATGCCAGTTAGACTCTGGTCTTGAGAAACAAATTCATCTGCCTTTATATTTTCAATGTTTGCCCATCTATTTCCTACAAAAATTTATATGTAAAACTTTTTTTATTTTGAGTTACCTTTGCAAATGCTGTAGTAATTTACACAGCAGTCTTTTTTCTGCAAACAGTCATCAGAACAAGAACAGTAACTTCCAGGTATTCTTGCCTCACCACAACGGAAATTAGTGCACTTCCAAGACCGGGCTGAAAATTTGAAGGAAAAAAACTATGATTCAGTTCACATCATGTGAACTTCTTTGCATGGAAATCCTTCAAACAGGTAAAGGAAAACAAATTGTTATCTATAGGTACTGTTTGAGTTGCTTTAGAAATTTGCTCTGGAAAGAAAACTCAAGATTCCATTTAACGCAAAAAGCCTATTTCTTTGGCCATTGAACAGTAACACAGAGCCATAAAAGAATTTATTTTACAAAGGAATCCCCAAAGTCATCTCCTTCAAAGCCTTCTATCTTTCCAAAAAGATCTAGGGAAAAAAAACAAACAAACAAAAAACAAAACCAAAAACACACTCCTTATTTCTTTTACAGAGGAGAAAGAGAAGCAAACTGATCTTTTTCACGCTCTTGCACATGAATTCCAGCAGAGAGAAAAAAAAAAAAAAGAAAAAAAAAAGAGAAGTAAGGGCTGAAGTGGGCAGAAAAAGCAATAAGGATGAAGAAATACCTGAGCAGCTGCTGGGAAAGCAGAGACAGTAACTGGAGAGGAGCCTGGCCTCAATGCAGAACCAGGCTATTCCCCTGGAAGACAAGTGGACTCCTCCACTCCCAGGCACCCACTGACATCTGCATGAGGCTGGAGAGCACAACTGACTGGGAAACACCCACTTACTTTTAAATGTGCAAGAGGTACAGGCACAACAGGGCTGCTTCAAGGGCCCTTCTTAAAGATAACACATTATTGCTGCTCATGCTCATCTTCAGCTTTTTATGTGCCGTGAAATCTGCATGGCAAGTGCTTTGGTCATACAGGGGTCTGATTTGAGAAAGATGCAGGAAGATTTTGTGTCCTGCCAGGTCACCAAGTTACAGCTCTCTAGCCACCTGATTACAGAGGCAGCTTGACTCTGTCGCATCCACCTGAACAGGAAGAATAACTTTACTGTCAGGGTGACAGAGCACTGGAAAAGTTGCCCAGAGAGGTTATGGAATCTTCTTTTCTGGAGACATTCAAAAGCCACCTGGACACAAGCCTCAAGAGTGTGCCCTAGGATCTTGCTTGAGAAGGGAGGTTAGACTAGATTACCTCCAGTGGTCCATTCCAACCTTAACTATTCTTTGATTTTGTGATTTTTCTAACATTTCCCTCCCAAGGAAATGTGACATGACTTCTCTGTATCTGCATTAACATGACAATTACCCATTTTCTATTACAATCACATGAAGAAACACATTCAAAATAAAATGGACACCAGTGAGCACTGCCTGGAGGAGAGCTTACTTGGCTCCACACAGGTGTCCTCATAGTCCCAGCAGCAGTCCTGACGCTCCTTGCAGCCGCTGTCGCACTGGCAGCCGGGCACATCTTTCCTGTGTGGCTCATTGCACTTGTGTCTGCAGCTGACTGTAGGGAGAAGGCAGCGAGACTGAGTGCTCAGATAACCCTGTCCCAGGTAGGTCAGTTAAACAGACCATGGATATGGGCTGCATAATTTCCTAAATCTGCTTCCCTAGCCATTTTCCAATATGGTCACCAGCACAAGGGCCAACACGGTGGAAGCAAGGCTGTAGGAATCCCTCTGGGAGCTGAAGGTCTGACAGCTGTCGGGACCATGCTGGCCCACAGCCTGGGACAGGGCTGTCTCTGCAACAGCTCTCTGCAGGACCACTGGCACAGGAGGCAATGCCAGGGTGTCCCACTCTGCCAGCATGAGGAAGAGGAGACTGGCATCTCCCCTGCTCATTTCTTGGTCTGAAATAAAAGAGGAAGAGTGATTCCCACTTTTGATGTTCTGTAATAGACCTGCATGGGACAGAAGCTCCCTCAGGGCAGGGTACCAGAGCCATGGGGGCTCCCCAGGGGCAGCTGGGCAGGGACCAGCAAGCAGGAGCCATCCCACCACTCCAGCCTGGAGCAGGAGAGCTGAGCCAGCATGAGGGCAGCCCCCACCACACTGGGCATTTCTATGATGACAGGGACAGGTAAAGGCCAAGCTTTGGCCCGTGGGTGGGACTGGCTCAGCAGGACTCATGGCTGGGCAGGGCAGCACTGTGGCAAGCTGGAGGCCATCCCTGCTGGGTCAGTGCTTGGACAGGGGCAGTGGCCCCTGGGCAGGGTGGGGACACCCCAGGGGAATCTCCTTTCCTGGAGACATTCAAAAGCTGTCTGGACACAATTCATAAAGCTTATTGGGGCACTCAGGACTCTGGCAATATCTCTGCTACTTTATTGTTACCATGTCCATTAAAAATCTGTAGGTTGGGCTGTTCTAATTAAAACAAAGAAAAGGGTCCAAACGATGGGCCTGGCATTGAAAGTTGAGACAAGTATTCCTCAGCACAGCTCTGACACCTTTGAGCAGGGTGAATGGACAGCTCTGGTCTCCTGAGGACACCTGAAGAAAACCCCACATCTCCAAAGATCACTTGCAGTTCCGCACCAACCTCCACATGGACAAGCCTTGTATCCACGTTCTCTGCACTCCACTTTGTAGAGCCAATGCAGAGCTAAAATAATTTTCATATTATCAAAAACCAATTATGGTTCCATTTCATCTTATTTCCATGCTATTGGAAGTCTTCAGAAGGGTCTAAGACTTGATGAGCTACTAGGAAAACATGTACATTATGTGTTGATTAGCAATGAGAAATGTGCAATGAGAATATCTCCTTCCAATTTCCTTCCTTGAACTCCTTCAGAAGGGATTACTATTTCTTTGATTCCAAAGGAAGTGTTTTGTTGAATTCACAGTGTCTTGCATTTGTTTGTTCTCACCTAGACTGATCCCCTGACATCCAAACATTACTTTTTGTTTTCTAACTAAAAAATACCATTCCACTCAATCAAGCCACTATCCCCTTTTTACTGTAGCTTTACAGAAACTCAAGTTTTCAAGGAATATTCATAATCAGTTTTAGCATCAGCCTCCTGAATTATGCCAAATACACTGAAGATGATCCAATTATATTTATTTCACAAAATATTGTTGAATTGCAATAATATCCTATTATACTATATATAATAGGATAACATATCTCAAATTTTCTGGAAGTGTTAATGTAATAAAACTTTCAATGTGCCATGAACTAGGTTTCACACATTTGGAAAGGTCAGCAATGCACTTGGTGGTTTAGGATAGGTTTTTCAAGTATAGATTGTGAGTGTTCAGTTTTTATACAATCGAACTTGAAAAATGAACTTCGCAAGAACTTTATTTTCACAGGTGGTGACTTTTCACAGATCATTTACATTACACTATAAAAGAGCCTTTGCTGAAAGCCTTTGCCAGATACAGATTGGCAATTATGCTGAAAGTATCATAAACATACCTTGCTCCTGGTTTCCACGGTTGAGTCCTAGTCCTAAACCTAGTCCCAGGGATATAACCACCAGAGCACACAGCAGAACCTGTCACACAGACACAGGGAAACCAACATTCACAACTGTGATAAATTGTTATGTTTATTAGAAATTAACTCATTAATATTTCTATGAATGCATGATTTAAGAACTAATAATTTCTCTGAAGTTCTTCATCAAAAAATTGAATCTGAAGATAGGAGAGGCACAATAGTTATAACCTTAGAAGCTGCACTTTTAACCTATGGCCAGTTGTGATGTTGTAACTGGGGAAATCTTTGCTGAAGAAAATAAAGTAGGAAGTAATCAGTGTATTTATCTGTTTTGCATAGGCTTTGCCTGTAAAAATAAAGGCAATCACTTTTATTTATCTTCTGTATTTACCTGATATGATCACAAGGATTTCTTAAGAAATTTAGCTGGGTTGAGGCTGCAAGTGTAAAATTTTCACCCACGTGCCAGTTTCTTATAATGTTACCCTGTTAGTAAGATTAGAGGAAATTGGAAGGAGACTAACAGCCCAAGGAAACTCCCTAACAGAAAGCAGCATAACTTTTGGAAGACTCAGGGAGAGCTGAGGAAGCCTCTATCAGCTCAATGACAACTGGCAAATGGCAACTCATGCTGGCTGAAAGGTGCAGTGAAAAATGACAACCTTCTCAGAGCATTTTGTGATATATGCACTTTCCTCTTCACTAAGATAATCATGGGAAAGAAAATGCATATCACAGAAAAAAATCACCATGAAACAGCCCAGTTTATGTCCCATTTTTGCCTCAGAGTTTTCTTTTGTCTTCTGCCATTTCCAGGAACCAATCAGCTGATTCCTGGAAGTACTAAGGTTAAAAATAAAGTAGAAATGAGAGAGGATTTCTCTCAAGCTCAGTATAATTGTAATGGAGCCTCTTATCTGAGACTACAGCAATTTTAAGGAACTGAGAACAACTGCACGTGCATCCCTGATCTTTGCTGCTGCCTGTCCTGCCTTGCAGATGCTGGGCAGAAGTGTGGCAGCAGGGAAGGCTGCTCAGTTCTCAGGTGTGGGTGTACAACTGATTTATTTCTCTGGCAACACCAAATGCTAGCAATGCCATAGTTACTTCCTTCATAATTTCTCCTTCTCAGCTTTACTTTCTTCAAGCTGCTTACTCACATGTTTTTGTAGAAATATACCTCAAAAGGAGTGGAAATGGGATTGGTGAGAGAACTGGATGAGGGAGACAGATGGAGTAAGGATGTGTGGAAAGATTACCCAAACTGGCGGAAATGCTGAAGTCCCTTGAAGAGAGACTGCAGGTGTGAAGGCAGCAGTTTAATCCTATGTCCAGTCAGCAGGCTCTGAGAATAAGGGTGTTGGGGTGTTCTTTTGGGCTAGACCAGCAGCCACTCTTTCTGGGCAGGGAGGATAACACTGCCAAGTGTTTCACTGAGCACAGATAAGCCTAATCACCAGGGCATGTACTTTTCACCTCAAAGACACTATGGTTTTACCCTTTATTTTGACTAAAACTCACATCTGTAATTGAAATAAATAGATCCTACTAAATTGAAGTACAAATTAAAATACACCTACTACAGCAACAAACATTCCCACTCCTTCAAATAATAAGACAGCTGAAGTAAAACCCAAAAATTCCTATCAGGTATACAGATAAGATGATGCATTCCTTATAACATTTACACAAACACCCTTGATTTTGGGACGTTCATTGTTAAGGTGAAATAACGTTGGTAGTACCTATTCAAATCCTCAGGCTTTCTAGAGCTAACTTCTATGAATTGTTAGACAATTCAAAATTACAACTACTTATTTTTAGAAAAGTTGTTCCTAGCTCATATGCTCTGTGTGTTGGAGGACTTACTAACAGTGTGACTCCTATTCTCTGCCTAAAGTTTCAGGAAGAAGTTGCCAAGAAAGGATTTCATGCATTAGATTTAGCAAAAACATAAATTGTGTGCAATATTAACAGTTTACACTTCCAAAATGTAAACTGTGAATTTTGTATAGGCAGGCATTTGAAAACTAGTGCATCTGAAAGAATGAATACGTTTTGGGATATTTAAGTTTCTCAATTTACTCTTCCAAGTACCTCTTGAAGGTATAATTTACTTTCCTTTATAGTTATGCAGTTTTCCCACATTCTTTCTCGTGACTCATTTTTAACTGATGACTTCAGGAAAAATACGTCTGTTATTACATCTTCTTTTTTTCACAAATTTTTCACAATTTTCCTCATATTTTATGCAATCCTTGCACAATGCAGCATTAAATAGAAAACTGTACTATGTGAAATTGTTCTGATGACATAGAGCTGAAAAGCTTGACTCTCTTTTTTATAGGGCTGTTTTCAAAATTAAGTAGCAAATTTTTCTAAAATCGGTACTTGTAGTTTTCTCTATATTCCAATTTATAAATGCAAGAGCTTGTGCAAACATATATACATATTTAATGCTTGTTTATATTGTGGTCACAAACAGAAGATACATGAAAATATTATAAAAACTTAACAAAAAGTCTATGCTTTATTGTTTACACAGCAGCTGCATAACTCTTAAAGCCTCAGGGAAGAGGTGAAGAGTTAATACGATATTTGAGATGTGGAACTGACAAAACGTTTCTGTACTGTACAAAACGTAGTTTTTGTACAAAACGTTTCATTAGGCTTTTCCCATGCCTTGATTCCTGAGTGGCTTTTGCCAACGACTTGCCTATAGGTTCAGTTTTGTTAATGACAAATATAAAGATACAAAAGCAAGCAAAAAGAAAGCAGGGTTGCTTTGGCCACAAGCACATCTGTTTTGAGACAATATTTAAAACAAAGTATCAAAGCAATGTCTTCACTATGCAAAAGAACTGTCAGGTTAATGAAGCACAACAAAAACTGGCAGTAAAAAAAATTGCTTCCCAGGTACCAGAAGAACTTTAGAAATGTGCCAGAGAACTAGTGCTGTTTCAGTGACACACTCATGCAGTAAAATTTTAACTACCAATTACTAAGCTACCCCGAATGCTTATACTCATACAACGAAACTTCAAAAAATCCTGCAGATTTGAGAATTGTTAAAGTAGCAGCCCTGAAGAGCAGCACCTACTTACAGCACAGATGACTTTGTATTTCAAGACAGTTTTTTTCTTCACATACTCTTCTGATTTTAAAGATATCTCCTCTGAATATCCTCTGTGATCCTTGCTTATACCATCCTCAAGTTCCATTTTGTCGAGATGTCCCACTCGTCTGCGTCTTCTGCCTTCCTCAGCCCCCCAGCTGTGTTAGCCGCGAGTGAGATGCTACTTCTTCAAGAGTACTTTGCTCATGGGTCTTTTTAGGAGATCTCAGCTCTTGCATCCGTGTTAGGTTTGCAGGAAGCCAAAGCAAGCAGGAAAACTGCTCTGAAAGGTCAAAGGCTGAAAAACATTTATCTGTGTTCAGGGAACCTGACTGTTCAAGATAAGAACGGCATTAAGCAAACACTTAAGTGAAGATTAGAATTAAAGTGTTGCTAAGCAATAAAATGCTAAAATACTCAAGTACTCAACTATTTGGTTAAAAGCTTGTCATCCAGGGAATTTATCCTCAAAGAAAGTGTTAAGTATACGAAACCAGTATGAAAGGAGATGGTTTCTTATTTCGTGTTCTGTGTCACGCCTATGTATTCAGATCCCTTTCCTTATTTAGCATCAGATGATTTCTCCCTGTTAGTTTCAATCCATTTTTGTCTCAACTTCTTTCCCCTTCTTACAGTTTTTCTTCCCAGCACTTATAACTGTGCTAATTAAAACAAATTGTATACAGCCAAATCAAATTCAATAAAAAAATAAAAGGTTTTGTTTAAGCATAATTTAAAATCTATTTGTCTACTGGAAGACAAAATTTAAAATCTATAAGTCTACTGGAAGGATTGGCTGTTCTGAAAATATACCTTCATAGCCTACTAGGACTATGATGAATTTGTAACTATTCAGATGTTGATCTGATTCTAAATTTGAGCATCACACGATGCTGTTACTTATAATAATTAAATTTATAATGTTTATAATTATATTTTAAAAAATCCAAACCATGAATCTATACAAGCTGATGTGAAGAAAATTAACTCCACTGCAACCCAAATTAGTAATCTCTTTATTCTATACAATTTGTGTTATGCTTAAGTCCCACATTATCCAGTACATCCCCATTAATCTCTCACACACATACACACACACACACACATACATACATCATCACCCTTTAATTAACAGACGGATATCATTCCCTTACTCTACAAAATGTTTTACCCCTGTAAAATGCCCATTGAGTTCCCTTCTTCCATGATCAGGGTTCCATCTCTTGTGGTTATTGCTCAGGACAGGAGGTGTGTTGTGCGGAGCTACTGGTTACCAAATTCTTGCAGGAATTCTTGTGAGGCTTGCCCTCTGTTCAGATGACTTCTGCTATAATGTTTCCCATAGAACAGGCAACTCAAGCAATGAGTTACAACACTTAAATTGCATCCACTTCAATTTCCTCACCTGGGCCCCATGAAGGGGGCTATAAGGTTCCTTAATTAACTTAATTAGCTTAATTAACTTAATTAACTCCTTCTCTTACCATACTGGTATGGACTTACCCCCAGGTTGCAGACTTTCCCTTGGTTGGAAAGCTGCTCTGCAGAAGAAGACCTTAGGGTGTTGGTCAACAGCAGCTGGACGTGAGCCAGCTGTGCCCAGGTAGCCAAGAAGGCTAGTGGCATCCTGGCCAGGATCAGCAATAGAATGGCCAGCAGGAGCAAGGCAGTGATCATCCCCCTGTACTCAGCACTGGTGAGGCCACACCTCCAGTGCCGTGTCCAGTTTTGGGCCCCTCACTATAAGAAAGACATCGAGGTGCTGGAGAGTGACCAGAGAAGGGCAGTGGAGCTGGGGAAGGGTCTGAACACAAGTCTTATAAGAAATGACTGGGGCAGCTGGAGGTGTTTAACTCGGAGAAAAGTAGGCTTAGGAAGGAAATTTATCTCTCTGCAGCTACTGAAAAGAGGTTGTAGCCAGGTGGGCTCTTCTTCCAGGTTACAAGTAACAGTACAAGAGGAAAAGGCCTTAGGTTGCTCTTAGGAAAAATTTCTTCCTCGAAAGTATTGTCAAGCATTGGGGCATGGCTGAGCCACCATCCTTGCAGGTATTTAAGACATGTACATGTGGTGCTTAGGGACATGATTAATGGTGGACTTAGCAGTGTTCTCCAACCTAAATTATTCTACTGTATTATTCAGAGGTGTAACTGCTCCACTATGGACATATCCACAGCCTCAGACAATTTGGGGTATACCTGCTCCAGCCTGGTGTTAATCAGAGCTCACAGCCCCTTCAACCTGAGTTCAGACTATAGTTACAACATGCCTACAGCAGTACAGAAACAGCAGCAATGACCAGGCCATCTGTCAGCCCAGGCACGTGGCCAATGGTATTATCAAAATGTTCCCAGGCACAGGAAAGTGGGATGATAAGCACTACGGCATATGGCAACCACAAGCAGTCAATCCATTCTAATATAGAGCAAAGCAAGCAGATCCTCTGGTGACAGCAGCTGCCTGCCAATAAACAGCTCAAACAGCTGTAAATCCACTGGAGTGCATTCCTATCAAATCTGTCATTGCCTTCAACCCCTCTGGTCCCACACTGGGTGCCAAAAAGCACACTTGCAGGTTAGTCTGAGCAGGCAGCTCAGCCCCACACAACCATTCACGCTGTTCCCTGCTGAGGGAAGCAGGGAAGAACAGGAAGGGTAAAAATGAGAAACCTTGTGAGTTGAGATAAAGACAGTTCAATAAGTAAAGCAAAGCCACTCACATAAACAAAGCAAAATAATTTCATGGCTACTTCACATCAGCAGGCAGGCTCAGGTGTTCAGCCACTTTCAGGAAGGCAGAGTTCCACCACATGTCATGACTACTTGGGAAGGCAGACACCATCACTCTTACCATTCTCTATGCCTTCCCTTTTCCCCCCCAAAGTTTTATTTCTGAATGCAGCATTATATGGTGTGGGGTATCTGTTTGGTCAGCTGGATGTCCCAGCTGTGTCCTCTCCCAGGCTCTGTGCACCCCATGCTACTCAGAGAGAAGGCTCTCAGTCTGTTTAAGCACTGCTCAGCAACAGCTAAAATGAACAGGATGTGATCTCATATACCTGTTTTTGCTGCTTTTACCCAATCATTGCTCTAACTTGACATACTTGATTGTCCTCACAGCATTCTAGAACATTTCTCACCCATAAAATTCAATTATGAAACTTAATAAATATTAACCAAGAACTGAAACCTTTCTGTTTCAAGATCAAGGGCCTCATATATTATTTTCATCCCTACCAAAAGAAAATTCACACTAAAAAAACCAAACAATCCATATGATCAATACATAAGACTAAAAAAAAAAAACAAGAAGGAAGAAGGAAATAATTATCCTTTCTGTTCTCAATTACTAAATCATAACTTTGAGTGACCATTTTGTGTACAGACTGACACTATACCAATGCAGAGTGAAGGTATGAAAAAACCCATTCTCCCATAGTTACACTGCAGTCCTCAGTTCATCTGACACTTCTTCTTTCAGGAAGAAGAAGGAGTTTTCAAAGAACACAGGCAGGACATCTCCACCATATACAAGTTAACAAACATGCCAGGAAAATGGGGAGAGTTCTGAATAGCACTGTGTTGTAAACACTCTCAATTTTCACTGCTAAGAAGCCACAAGTCTTCCAAGGTCATGAAGAACTAGGCAGTCTCTACATACCATGACATTAATTTGTCATCTATCTGCTAAAATAAATGGCACTCACTCAGGAAAAAACATTTAAAAATTTAACAATTTTTCTCATACATGTTTCTTCTCACCCACAAGCATAAAATGGTTATTTTGATGAAGGTGTTTTTGCTAGAGTAATACAATATTTACAATAATTTTGAAAAGTGCATTGCTTTTTCTGTGTCCGGGTGAAGAGGGTCATTTCATCCTCACCCAAGTACTGCTCTTCTGCCTTGTTTGGTGAGGTGTGTGGCTCTGTTACTCAGCACAGTCTCACAGTGGTTCATGCCTTGGCAGACACACCTGGGTGCAGTTGCTCCAGTGTTAATTAGCTGTACTGTTTCTCCTCCTGGGTACTTGTCTCCCTTAGGCAAAGCAGGATGAGCTTTGCTTAGACCTGGCCTGCCCCAGCACCCCTTGCTCCCAGCTCCATCCCAATAACAAGGTGCTCTGCCAAAGTGTGACTGAGATAAGTTAGTCAGGTCCTCAAGTGTGCCCTTCCCCTCCCCTTCCCACACCCCTCTCCTTTACAACTGTCTCTGATGGGAAACATGATTTGTCCTAAGATAAGAATAACAAGTGAGAATGGTGCTAAGATAAGAACACCCAGTGAGCATTCCAGAAGGAATTGTCTGGATGTTCCCATGATGACCAATTTCAGAGACAGGGAGGTGTATTTGGCACACATCAGCCTGTAAAACTGTTTAAAATACTGATGGAGACTGTGCCAACTGAGCAAACTGGTCTCCCAGGCTGCAGGCATCTTCCAGGTAGAACCCCCCTGTCCTGGATGCCTGCAGGGTACATCCAGCCCAAAGATGAGGAACACTCACTTTTGGGCAGGTGAGTAAAAACACCAAAATCCAGTCAGATAAAGAGATTAAATCCTAAAGCAGCTTCACAGGTGCTTTGATGCTTTGCCATTGTGCATTCTGTAAGGCCAAAGACTGTAAACTTGTACATTTCTAGCTGATTATAATACAAGCTGGTAATAGTATGTTTATATATTATTACATGCTTATATTGTATACTGCTTTGGCAGTATTTAGATTCTGTATTAGCAATAAATCTAATCATAAAAATCTACATAATGCATCATACTTCTTGTCCCTGACCAAGAGCCTTCTTTTTACTTCTCTTCTACACAAAGGTAGGATCATAGGTAGTTCAGTTTTGTTAAAATGATATCTAGTTAGACAAGTTGTTAATTCAGGACAGAAATCACCATTTGTTCAAGGCCATTACATGGTTGAGTGGCTCAGTTTTAAAATTCAAAATTTGGTATAGTATTTGGGACAAGTTGTGAACCAGGACCATAACTAGGATTAGACCAAGTCTGTCTACTAAATATGACTAGCTAGATTTAGTAGGCCATTACATGGTTGAGTGGCTCAGTTTTAAAATTCAAAATTTGATATAGTATTTGGGACAAGCTGTGAACCAGGACCATAACTAGGATTGACCAAGTCTGTCTACTAAATATGACCAGCTAGATTTAGGCTTGCATGCTAAGTGCTGTTTAGAATGTATGTTGGCTAATGACTTAATAAGAAGTCATTTCTAGTAGAAGTAATTTCTAGATAAAGACTTAATAATTAAAATAAAAATCATGGTTGTGACGCAAAGAAAAAAAAATTATGAAAACCTGTCTCTCAAAAGCTTCCAATTCTAATGGATGACAGACAGTTAGTTAAGAAGCTGTGTTGATTTATTTCCATCTTGTAAAATATGCACACTCACATGCAGAAAAATAAGAAGAGGGACCCTGAGACCTGCCCTTTCTGCACTCATGAGTGAGTGGGGCTTGGACTCCATTGCTGTGAGCACATTCCTCCCAACTTTTGCATGGTTTTTCTATCAAATGCAATATCCATGGCAGCTCATTTCCCTTTGACTTTCTGAGCATTCAGCAAAATCAAGGTAAAGTTGTATTAGGCACAAAGTAGTGGACAGATTGTATGTTGGTAAGTATTAGGATTGGATGGGAATGGCTGTTAGCCCAGGAGTGTGACAGAGCAGTAAGGCAGAAAAAAAGAATAGTAGACTGGACCTCAAAATAATAATAAGACATTATGATGAGTAAAACAACTCCTTTTTGGCTCAGTTTCCAGTCCTCATATGGGTCACTGTGGGAATGGATTAGTAGCTTGGCACAGAATTTGAGTAGACACGTACTCTGTGCATTGTCATTTTAATAAAATATGAGGTGGTCTGTCCAAGATGGACAAGTACTGGGTCTTGATGGGACACGCATGGACATGTCAGATTACTCTGTGCATTGTCATTTTAATAAAATATGAGGTGGTCTGTCCAAGATGGTTCTTGATGGGACACGCATGGGCATGTCAGATGGTTGTGCAACACCCTTTAAGCAAACATAAAATGAAGAACATAAAGAACAATTCTTACAGGATAAATAACTTCATGTTAAGACCAAGAGCAACCCAATTCTAAGAGCAAGACAAGCAAGCACAAGCAGACCTTCCATTGCATCCTCTCTGTTTTCAGTGATCATTTTTACATGTATATTTAGATAAATAATACACATGAAAGCATTATTTGTTTCCTAACCAGGTATTTCCCATTGTAAAATATGAGGTGGTCTGTCCAAGATGGTTCTTGATGGGACACGCATGGGCATGTCAGATGGTTGTGCAACACCC